GCAGGGCCTTCCTACCCTCCAGCAGATCGACCCTTCCACCCAACTTGGTGTCATCTGCAAATTTCCTGAGGGTGCACTCGATCCCCTTATGCAGATCATCAATGAAGATGTTGAACAGGACCGGCCCCAATACTGAGCCCTGGGGAACACCACTCGTGACCGGCCGGAAGCTGGATTGGACTCCATTCACCACCACTCTCTGGGCTCGGCCGTCCAGCCAGTTTTTAACCCAGCGTAGAGTGCACTTATCCAAGCTGTGTGCAGCCAGCTTCTCCAGGAGAATGCTGTGGGAGACAGTGTCAAAGGCCTTACTAAAGTCCAAGTAGACAACATCCACAGCCTTCCCCTCATCCACTAAGCAGGTCACCTTGTCATAGAAGGAGACCAGGTTAGTGAAGCAGGACCTCCCTTTCATAAACCCATGCTGGCTGGGCCTGATCCCTCGGTTGTCCCGCACTTGCTGCATAATGGCACTCAAGATGATCTGCTGTCCTTACAGAATAAGAACACATGAAAACAGAAATCATATTTTTAAGCTTCCTAAAATGCAAATGATCTGACAGGTGACAAATCATGAGTTTACAAGTTAACTATTGTGTACTTTTTGTTTTTTAGGAAAACTGAGTCCCAAGTTTATTTTTGCTTAGCAGTGTTTATAAGATATTACAACTATGCTGCTACAGAGAAAGGATGCTATTTTTTTTTTTTAATGCAAATAAAATACATTCATGTTTGGTAATAAATGCTTTCTTAGTCTTTCCCCCTTCCTTTATGTATTATGTATGCATATAGGTACATATGCATATGATATGAATTTCTTCAAGGCCTTTTATGGTGGTTCTCAGTACAATATCAGAGTGCTTTAGGTATTTTTTGATGTATTTGACAGTAGCTCCTCTAAGTTGAACTTCTGTTTAATCAGTGAAGGAATTAAGGCACAAAGATAGTAGGTTCAGAAGTCAGGATCTATGCATTTGAGTTGCATTTATCATTCATAATGGTATGTGCTCAGCAATTTTGCAAATGAGATCCTAATGTCTGAAGTGAGACACTAAAAAAATGAGAAACCAAAGTCGTCACAGGTTGTTAAATTATCACATAAGAGCTCTATCGTAGAGCCAAAGGTAGAGCTAGTATTTCAGTTGACTCAGGTATGAGATCATCATTCCCCTCCTGGCTATCTCTTTCCTTACTTAGTTCACTCTGTTTCTAACTTTGCAGCAACTGATGCAAGAATTCTATGGACGATATCCTTTTTTGCTTTATACTTCTGATTCGTTCTCAGTCCATGGTACATTGAATTAATCTGGGGTCATATGGGAGGAGGAAAAGAGAAAGGCAGTTTTAAGATTGGCTGTACATGACTATAACTCACTTGGCTGTATACCTTATGATTCAGTTCTAATTACATCATTACTTCATTTTTTCAAAGTGCTTGACTTTTTGAACTTATACACTTTTGTAAAATAACATTGGTATAGTATCACAGTTTGTGGGCTTTCTTTTTTCCCCGAAGGAGTGTGAACCATTGAGTGTAATCCAGTTAGCATTTATATGGTTCATTAAGAGGTTTGGAGTTTTAATATTAGAGGTATGTCCTGTGTATATAAAATCTAATAGTTACTCATAGCAATAGCATAATTATTTAAAACTTTACTTGATAAATGTAGACATTTAATTTGAGTTGCTATATTTTCCTAACCCTCTGAAACGTACACAAACTATGAAAAATTGTAACTGCATTTTTGCAGTTTCTCAAATTTTGATATCTTACTAAAAGTATCAGTCCTATGTTTTAATGATGAAACGTAACAGTTACTCCTCTGGGGTTTTGGTTTACTTGTTTGAATTTGTCCAAACTTAAAACTCAATGTGTTATTGAAGTCAAAATACATTGTCATGACAGGTGTATATTAATGATGTTTTGGGGTTTGTGTTCTATTTGTGTTTGACTTTACTAAAAGATTCCAATGTTTTCAGTATTAATGAAAAGCCTGAAGGTGAACTTTGAATATTTTTTAATATAGCGTATCTTTAAATGAATGACTAACCTGGATAAGGGGTTATCTTTTAAAAGTTAGCTTTTGGAAAAATATTGATGTTTCTGTTATTTTGTTGAATCTTCCCCCCACCCCATATATATACACACAGAGGTATAAGTCTTACCATGCAACAACCTGAAAGATAATAGCTTTCTAGTTTGTAGTTTAAAAGTCTATTATGGTCATAAGTTATTGTTAATCAAAATGTTAAGAGAACTTTTCTTTGTGCAGAAATTTGGTCAAGAAAATAACATGCGTATTCTGAAAGGGAATGTTATGAATCAAGACATTTTCTAAAGATTCTAATAGGAGGACATTAGTACAATGTGATTACAGTACTTCTGTTAAAACCATATTTTATGGAAATGGCTGAATTTATTAGGTTACCTTGCTGGATTACCCATTGTAACCATATGCAATTCTGTCAAAGTAAGAGAAGTTGTACTAAGTGTAATTGCATTACTTCCACAGTGTAGCACAAGGCCTAGTGTGCTTTGATTCACCAAGGAATTGCTTAGTACTCAAAGCTGCTCAGAGTCACTGTTATACTTAGGACAAGTTTCTTAGCTTGTAGTATTCACTGCACTATTTCCTTTAAGAAAATGCTTATGTTTTGAAATGGAAAATGACAGGAAGAGATATGTTACATCTGAAGACTGAATTATCTTCTAATGAATTTGCTTTCAAGAAGTCCTGGATGTTTTTGTGCATTTATATATAAATTGCTATAAGAAAATAAAAAACAAATGGTGGCCTAGAATAACAACATGTAGTTTATAGATAATTTTTTTAAAAGTAATTGTGTGTGTGATTTTTTTTTTTTTTTTCCCCAAATGTCACATTATCAAGTGTTTGAAGTGTTTATGTGGTGTGGGGTTTTTTGTTTTTGGTTTTTTTTTTTTTATAGCTTATTTGCACTAATCTTGATGAGCTCAGGGAATTAATCACAAAGACTGAGAATGAACTCGCACATCTGGAGGACATGAAAAAGAAATCGGTATGTGACAAAAAAGAAAACTCTTGTATGGATATAAATCTATGCCAGGTATTTGCTGAGGCTTGTCAACAGAAGACTTTGTCTCATCAGTAATTGCATGGAGCTCCATAAGGTTAATGTCTGGAAAAGTTATATTTATTTTCATAATCTCTTTATATATAGTGCTCAATTTACAATGTTGTCATAAGTAAAATTGATAACTACATATCAATGTTTTTCTATTGCCCAAATAGAATGTGGGTAGTGGCAGTATCTTAGAGTTAATTCACTCCTATTAATCATGTGGATATTCTTTCTCAAAGCCAGATTCTGCTTAACCAAGCAATGATGGGGTAGACTTCTCATGTTTGCTTATGCAGTGCTGATCACATGTTCTTGTGCATTGACACTTTCATGTCGTTTAACATGATTCCTGACACATCCTTTTTTGCAAGCAATTATATTTGGCTTTTTCCTATTCAATTAGATGGTCCAGGAAAGATGTCCTTTCTGGTTCTAGATCAAAGATTGATGGAAAAATTTTTCCTAGCATATATTGGATCACCTCATAGTTGTTTTAGGACAATTGGTATCCAAGATAAGAAGTGGTAGGTGCCATGCCCTCAACTTCCAACAGAAACCATGCCTGCTACTGACAGTCACATGTCCTGCTTACCCTGGAAGTCCCTACCCTCTTCTGGTCACATAGTCTGTTTAATCTACCTCCTTTTGCTCCTGAGGGGCTGCCATTTTATAAAATGGCATACCTCATGTGTTTTCACACTGCCCTGGCAGTTTTCACACTGTCAGGACCAGCCACCCCTTCCAGTTTACTTGTGTATTGGGTATAAATGGCAAGGTTTTGGTGGTGGGGTGCGTGTGTGTGTGTGTCAGCAGCCTGTGGATAGGCCCAGACCAGAGCAAGTACTTTCCTGAAGGGACTGCAGCCAATGGAACCTATGTCAGAGCAGAGGAAACAAATAAGACAGAAGGAGAAGCAGAAGAGTAAGGTACAAGGAGCAACAGAAACCACTATGCACTAAACCCAACCTCCTGTGCCTCCTGTCACCTCACCAAAGGGAATGAGTAATCTGTGGCAATAACAAGGGGAGTGGAGACTTGGAAGGGGGAGAAGAGGTGTCTGGAGTGAAGTGGAGCCTGGGAAAGGGTGAGGAAAGGTGTTTTCCCTAAGTGTTTAAATGTTTATATCTTCTTTGATTTTCAATACCCAAATCAGTAATGAAATGTTTATGTTAATTGGCAATAAATTAAGCTAAATTCCCATGTCGAGTCTGTTTTGCCTATGACAACCTGGAAGTATGTTAGAAAAGGAAGCCCCCTCGCGCTACATACAGAGGCCACCGTTTTTGACGACATCATTCCCCCCTGCTGTGTTTTTGTACTGCTCTGTGATTAGGTAGTTACCAGTTTTTGATACCATCATACTCGTATGATCTCAGAGCAAGCTGAAACATATTTGGGGTGGGGAGTTCAAAAGCTGGGGGTGGTGGTGGTGGAAGAACAAGTCAGAACATGCCCAACTGCTACAGATCCATACTTGGAGGCCCACCAAGGGCCCCTTCTGTGCAACCTCCACTCCATGCAAAGAAGAGATGAATCCCGTGAGCTGGAAAGAGAGGTCCATACAGGACCACCAGGATGACCATGCAGTATTAACTGGGGCAGCCTTTGGGCTTTGCACTGTGCTGCAAGAAACAGGCAATTCTGGCCTCGAAAATGGAAAACCAGATGAAAAAAAAACTACTTCAGAGGAACATGTATGTGGGGACAATAACGAGACGCCCCAAAGGGCTTCCTGAAACCAGAAGAACCAGCCAATGGGCCTGTGAATCGGAAACTATATTTCAAGGTAAAAGTTTCACACAGAGAAGGGTGGGTGGTGGAACTGGGGGAAGCCCCCTTTGCCCACAGCTGTGGGGGAGCTTACAGCTACCTATAAGACCAATATGGGGTGAAAGCTTGTGCTACATGTGTTTCCTTATCCTCTAGGTTGATGATGACTTTATAGAATGTTTTAAAAATCTCTAGCTGACTGACCGTGGAGGAAGAAGACAGAAGCGTGCTGTGCACTGTTCATGTTCCTGTCTGGGCCTACAATTGTCACAGAAAGGAGAATGGGCATAGAAGGGACAGCGGTGTTTGGGGGGGGAGCAAAAGGCTGGAGAAGCCTGGCCAGCGACCAGCACCCCTCATATCCTGTTAATAAAGTTTCTCTGGCCATGAGTGAAATTGTCTGATGTTTGATTTCTTTACATTTGTATAGCAGCAGCGTGTTAGCCAACATGTCTATGTCTCCGCTTCTGTTAAAAAGACATCTACTATGCTCCTGGGGAGGTGGGAAGCTTTGGGGCTGTAAATCCCCTTTCTGAAGCTGCTAAAGGCAAATTGCTTCTGTTCAGACCGGCAATGTGGCAGGTAACCTGGCTTGCAAACCAGAATGCTTACGGTTTACACAAGGCAGCAAGAAAGCACTTTAAAAGAAAAAAGGTGATTGTGGCAGAGGTGGATGCTCAATAGCAGCCACTTGGTGGATATATGACAGTTTTCCAAATGCAATGATGGTGTTAAGTACATCTTAATAGTGCTAGACATATTATCCAAGCATGCTTGGGCCATTGGTTGAAAAGGCAAAACAGGTTCTGAAATAGCTGGGGCTTTTGAAACCGTTTTTATCAGGGGGCATGCGCCTCAGAAATTACAGACTGATTGGGGAAAAATAATTTTTAAACAAGCTGTAAAAGCAGTATAATGCTTATCATTTTATTGCTAATAATGAAGACTGTCATAGAGCATTTGAACAGGATGCTCAAAGCCAAGATATGGAGATATTTTACAGCATACAACGCTTGTTGCTACATTGATATGTTATCAGACCTTTTAAAGAGCTATAACCAGAGCTTCCACAGAACTATCATAGAATAGCCCAGATTGGAAGGGATGTTGAAAGATCATCTGGTCCAATCTTTTGTGGGAAAGGGAGTCTAGATGAGATTATCTAGCGCCCTGTCCAATTGCATCTTGAAAACCTATAGTGATGGGGACTCTACCATATCCCTGGGGAGGTTGTTCCAGTGAATGATTGTTACTGTAAAAAATTTCTTTCTTATATCATCAGCCTGTGGGTATGAACCCTTTAAACTCTGCTGGGGTTTGGAAAACTGTATACAGGGATGTGGTTAAAATTAAAGAATCTGCACCTCTGCTCAAAAAGGGAGACCAAGTCAGAGTGTCTAGAACAAAAGAGAGATTTGAGAAAAGTTATGAGCAGACATTCAGGGATGAAGTTTTTGTAGTAGCTGAAACTGTGAGAAGGAGGTAGATATACCCATATACCGCTTAATAGACTACAGTCACAAAGCAATTGAGGGAGTGTTTTACCCTGAAGAACTTCAAAAAGTGAGTCCTGACGTGGTGGCCTTTGTTTTAGATAAATGGCTATATCAGTTGAGTGGGTCAACTGGTTTTCTAAATGGTCTTCCCTAAGATAATCAATAGAAAGTATTATTAACTTCCTGAGCCACCCAGACCAACATGTGGGAAGTGTATTTGTAGCTCAGCCTAACATAGAGTATAAAAACTGAACAGCCAACAAAATTAATTTTGAAGAAAGCAATGGGCTTGAGCTGGCTTCAACCCATGTATTCCTTCCCAGAGACTGGGGATGCCCAGCATCATGATGGTGAGCATACATGTTTGTGATTCAACAAATCACAACACAAACACAATATAGCAATTGCAACATACAGTTGGATCACAATACAAACATGATTCCCATTACTGGTCTCTATATTATGCTCACCTTCATGATGCTGGGTGTTCCCAGTCACCAGGAAGCAATATGTGGGTTGAAACCAGCTCAAGCCTGTTGTTCCCTTCAAAGTTCTTTTTGTTCATTGTTCTGTTTTTATACTCTATTTTGAGCTGAGCCACACATATATTCCCCCCATGCTGGTCTGGCTAAGGAAGACATATATTTGCATTCTTTATATTAACTCAGGGATGAACAGTTACACAGCCATTTTTTTAATTGAACTGTTATAACCAGTTGATTTGCTCAGCTGGCTGACCTAGTTTACCCCAGTTGACCCACCCAACTGATGTAGTGTTTAGCTAGAACAAAGGCCACCCTCTGGTCCCCTTTGTGTTGAGATAAGTTCATCTTTCTTTGCAACAGCTGTGGTCAGTCACTCCCTACCTTCTTCCCTGACCTTCATGAGCTATGACATAGCCCTTGCCTAGCTCCTCACAGTCTTGTTCCATTGTAGGGGTTCATTGATTGGTCAATCATCACATATTGTTTATTATTTTGGCTATTTTGATTTTTGATATGATACATTCCACTAATATTATGCAGTATATCAACTCATCCTTCTGCAACTCTCTATGAAATGTTATACATGGTCTTTAAGAGGAAAATAAATCTGCATTGTTAATAGGTTTACACATTCACAGCTAATTCTGTTGACTATTGACACTAATAAGGAATATCAAATGCCTAATTAGGCTACAATATACAAGTAGGCTATTTTCTAAAACAGTACTTGATGGAAGCTTATCTTCAGTATGTTACACATGCACTATGACCAGGCCACAAATGGGGGGATATTAGAAGACAATTTCCTGACTTCTGTTTTCAACATCAAACATCATTGTATGATAATATGATACCATTTTCCATATAAAAACTTTGGGGTTTGTAATTTTAATTAAAGAATGAATGAATAGCCATTAATTCTGTTCTGTAACATCTAAATGATTATTCATAAACAGTGGCTCAAGTCCTCAAATAAGCATGCAGCTTGACATTGTACAGTACACAGTGGGCAGACCTGCTAGGAACATGTAGAAAGGAATTTGTTCCACTAGTTACAGAGAGCACTGTTGCAGACTGCTGAAAGGCTGCCATGTCAGGCCTGGGTCAGCTTTTCCTGCCCTAAATTTCTGTGCATGCTGAAATACTGATAGCTATTAGAGAGCTCTACCAAAAGCTAAAGACATATATATAAAAGGTTCCTAAGTCTTGCTTCTTTTTCTGGTGCAGAACCATACTGTCTCCTGTCTTGTCAGAGAGGTTGTTAAAACAAAATAATCAGTGAAGTAAATATGCACTGAATTGGTATAGTGACAGAAGCATTATAATGTACATTATCTGGTTGTGTAGCTGCCCATATATACCTGTTCTCTCATTTTTGTGACTTGACAATAAAGTTTTTAGAACAAATATTTATAAGGCATATGTGTTTAAGAATGTAAAAAGATGTGTTTCACAGTATTATATTTACCGTGATTTTTTTTTTTTTTAATATCACATATTGCCTGTCAGGAAGCAGCAAGAATAGCTGCACCGCAAAAGTAGGTGAGCTGGGAGCTGAGGGTGACAGCAAGGCAGGGGCAGTGCCCTCACCAACAGGGTGCACTTCCACTGCACCCAAGGAAGAAGAGCAGAGCAGGTCCAGTAATGGTAATCAGGGTCAATCACAGTCCAGTTATGGCCAGGCAAGTTCAGAGTGACAAGGCAGGGCCAAGGTGAAGCCAGGTTGGGGTCAGTAAGGTATGCTGCTGGACAGAGTATACCTACCTCACAGCTCAGGCAAGACCCAAGGGTGAGGGCCTGATCTTAAATGCAGCCCCGAGCAAAAGGGGGAGTTCCCCACCAAGGCATCTCCCAGCTCTTTCTCACACATTAGTGATTTTCCCAGCAGCCTGATCCCAAGTTATATGGCTGCACCATATCAGAGCTGCCCTTGAGCACAGGCAGCTAAACCCCAAGGAACAGGGGCAGGGGGAGGGTGCAGAGCCTGTTGGTTCCCTCAGGGCCCCGACAGCAACTATTTAAATGAATAGTGAGGAAAACTGTGCTGTGCATGCACACTACTCATTTTTTCACGATGCTTTTTATCCTCATTCAGCCTTTCCAGTTTTAACAAAACAAGAATTCTTTATGGACAATTATACATGCTAAATTTCAGTTTGGAAAAGAAAACAGTTTTTAATCGCAAGATTGAGTTAAAAAACTAAAGGTTTTTACAGCTGCAACGTGTTCCTTACTCCATAGTCTGTTACTTTATAAATGGCCAATTTACAGAACTTTCCTTTTAAGAACTTTATCTAGAATTTTTAATGAGCAAAGTGTAATGCAAAGTGTGTGTGTGTGTGTGTGTGTAATCCTGAAAATGATACCAACCTTTGTTTTTGTAAGGGTCTATATAAATTATATCACTTATACATTAAATGAAATAGTTATACAATTTTTTATAGAAATATCTTTTTAATATTAACTTTTGAAGCTTTGCATATTTGATTGCCTTCCTTGACCTGAAATGTCTATGACATATATTAAGGTTACTCATATAAGCAATTTTAAATATGTGGTGTACTTGTTAGCAGGGTTCTATTCATTTCTAATTTTGAGTAATCTGAAAAAGTAAACACGTCACTGTTGCTTTTATAAATTAGGATATTATCTCTTTGCACTACACAAACTGTAGAGTATTAGATTTGCCTTATGAAGGCTGGTAATAGACATTGTGAGACTTAAAATTGTTCTAGTCATTATTTTTCTACATTGTAAGTGTACCAAGATTGTTGTAGGACTACTATAGTATAACAAGATTCAGATATAATGCAATGCTAAATGTTCTTTATGTTTGCAGGGAAGATGGTACCATCGAAAGCAAGCTGTAAAGGAATCACATAGTACATTGATACGACTACTTAATGAACTGTTACCATGGGAATTAAAGCTAATGAAAGCATTTCAAAGAAACAGGTAATTAGCTGCTCTTTTTAACAATAATACAAGAAATTTGAAACAAAATTCAACTCCTTACTTTTAAAAACCAGTCAATCTTAGCTGGCTTCTAAAATCATGGTAATGAAGATATTTTGAGAATAGAAATGATATCTAAGTAGCATTTTAGTCTGAAGAGGTAAATGTCATTTTCTGTAACAGATTTACTGATTACAAATAAATTTGAGATTTAACCCCATGGTTTTTTTCCCCACGATGCTTTAGAATCCCTAAGCATGCTTGTCTCAAGCTATGCCATATCATAATCTAGCTGTGCTTAATATTGCTGTTTGTTTGATGAAGAAATTCCTGAAACACAGTATTAAAAAACCTGGACCAAGTCTTCTTGTAACTTTTTAAGTCAGACTATGGTATTAAGTACTACCTAAAATTACCTGAACTGGTCATTAACAACCTCATAAGAGAACTAGTTTTTAAATTGTTATTTTGAGAATCTTTCTAGTTTTGTAAATTAGCATATATCTGAGATCAGGTGCATCAGACAAACATCAGTGTAGCAGTGATAGGATTAAAGCTAGTTAAGGTGGGTAATAGCAGCAATGAAGATGAGGTAAGGACTAGAACTCAGATTCAAAGCCCTTTAAAAACTACATATGATGTTGCCACTGCATCTTGAAGCTTGTGCTACTGTTGTCTGTTAGCTAATGATGTCACACTCATCTTAGAAGGAGGATCCAGGATACTACAGGCCAGACAGATTAATAACTGTTGGGAAGGTTATGGAGCAAATCCTCCTGGAAGCCATTTCTAGGCACAAGAAGGACAAGAATGTGACTGGGAACAGCCATCATGGCTTTACCAAGGGCAAATCATGCCTGACCAACTTGATTGCTTTCTACAATGAGATGACTGGCTCTGTAGACAAAGGGAGAGCAGTGAATATTGCATACCTTTGGCCTTTGACATAGTCTCCTATAATATCCTTAGAGCCAAATTGGTGAGGTATGGACTGGATAAGTGGACAATAATGTGTGTAGAAAATTGACAGGACTGCTGAGCTCTAAGTGTCACGATCAGCAGTACAAAGTCCAACTGGTGGCTGGTTACTACTGATGTCCCTCAGGGATCAATACTGGGGCCAACACTGTTGATTGTCTTTATTAACGACCTGTATAGTGACTCAGAGTGCATTCTCAGCAAGTTTGTGAATGACACAAAATTGGGAGGGGGCGGTCAGTGTGCTAGAGGGCAGATCTGTTGTTCAGAGGGATCTGGACAGGCTGAAGAAATGGTCTGACAGGAACCTCAAGAAGTTCAGCAAGGACAAGTACCAAGTCCTGCACCTGGGTGGAATAACCCTATGTACCAGTACAGGCTGGGGTCCCACTGGATAAAAATCAGTTTTGCAGAAAAGGACCTGGGGGTCCTGGTGGGCAACAAGTTGAACATGAACCAGCAGTGTGACCTTGCAGCAAAGGAGGCCAACAGCGTCCTGGGCTGTACTAGTAACAGTGTAGCTCGCAGGTCCAGGGAAGTGATCCTGATCTATTTGGCACTTGTGAGACCACATCTGGAGTCCTGCATCCAGTTCTGGGCTCCCCAGTGCAAGACAGACACAAGCATACTGGAGCAAGCCCAGCAGAGGGCCACCAAGCTGGTCAGGGGACTGGAACACATGACATATGAGGAGAAGCTGAGAGGACTGGATTTGTTCAGCCTGGAAAAGAGAAGGCTCAGGGGAGACCTTATTGTTGCCTGATTAGAGGATGCAGAGAAGACAGAGTCAGACTCTTCTCAGAGGTGCAAACCAACCAAGTAAGAGGCAACAGACACAAGTTGGAACATGGGAAATCCCAATTAGATATAAGGAAAAAAATCATCATGAGAGTAGTCAAATGCTGGAACAGGGGCCCAGAGAGTTTGTGGAATATCCACCCTCAGAGGTGTTCAAAACTTGACTGGACAAAGCCCTGAGCAACCTGTTCTAATTCGACTTGCTTTGAGCAGGGAGTTGGACTAGAGACTTCCAGAGGTCCCTTCTACCCTAAATAATTCTAAGATTTAAGGAAGTACCAAAACCTTATTTTTACTGTCATAGTGGTTGAGTTTAGGTCCAGGCTAGAATCTATATTCTATCCTAGACAATTTGCTAATTACTAGCATCTCTTCACTGTTTTCTTAATGAATCTCTCTGATGTCATGTTTAACACTGGCTGAGCTCTGTAGTTCACTGTATTTATATGCTAAAATACCACTAGATCTCATCTGAGCAATGATATAGAAGAAAGAACAAGGGAGAAAGTAGCATTGTGTGACTATCGAGGTAAGTATCGCATCATAGTGGATATTATTTCGCAAGAGTGTTCAAATGGAGTGAAGTACCTATGTACTTCTATCTTCTGAACATTCCTAATGGAATATGAGCTTCTGGAAGTGAGTAGCAGCTATTTTAGTGGCTGAAAAATGAGGAAGGTGTTTTACCAAAAAAAGGAACATTATGGTCATCTAACTGCACCAAAGACATTCCTGAAAGCAAGAATTGCTTATTTTTCTAGATGAAGCTGTCTTTCAGAGGAAAGAATAGATTTGTAGATTTGTTACAGATGTACCTGTATTGATTAGAGTATTAATTATCATAGTGTAAGGTGGAAAGCAGGAAATGGAGACAGGAAAGTAGTGATGGGTCAAATTTTACTCAGTCTTGTTGCTTATTGTTAAAGGACTTGAGGATAGAATTTCATTTCAGTGAGGGAAGACTTTTAGAGACTTGAATATAGCTACCCTGCACATTTTTAAAGGGCATAGGTTATTGTAGGCTATCTTTTCTATTTGAATTTTTTGGGGGAGAAATTTACAAATAAAAGCATGAAAAAATTGAGTATTGTTCCTCAGTAAAGTTAGTTGTTGTGTGTCATTATTTTCAAGGTCTCGACTGAAGAAAGACTATGATAACTTTCAAAGACAGCCAGACCATGATAAATTTACCAGAGAATTATGGAGTAATGACAAAAGTGAGGGTGATGCTGGCAAAGAGTCTTTTGAAGTAGTAACCAGTAAATCTTCAGAGTCTGTAGAACATGAGGATGTTTCCAAAAAAGATCATCTAGACTTTGGTAAGTACTTACTGAAATTTAATAGCCTGGACTTGATTCAAGGGCCTATCAGTTTTTTTCATGCATGTTTCTGTCATATATTTTACCTTAATTATAGTGTAAGCATACTGGATTTTGTGATGCACTTCTGATAGATGGTAGACCAGGAGAAGGGGGCAGAGATGATCTAGATGAGAATCTTGATTTTATGTATTAGTAAGCTTTTGCCATTTTTGTGCTTGATTATTTCTATGATAAAATAGTAGGCCTGCTCAGAAGAATTTACATTAAATCAGCTGTAGCTTAAGTTGTTAAAAAAAAAAAGTAAAATACATTACAGATGATTAATGCTGTCATCACCTCAGAAACTGTTCTTGATAGCTGTCCTGACAAATGTTTATGAACTAGCACTTTGCCTTTATCTGAACAGTGTCAAACTGTCATATAGGTGTATCAATTGCAAACTTGTAAAACACAAAATTTTTACTTTATTATTTTTGCAGATGAAATGAAACTTTTAGAGATGGTTTTACCTACAGGAAAAAAGAGACTTCTGAAAAGAGATTGGACTTCTAAAGAAATACATAAGACGGTGCCCAAATCTGTTAAATGACACTCTGAGCAGAACAGTTGTCTGGATGATAGCACAAATGAGCTTTCACTGAGAAAGAAAGCTAAGTTGAGCACTACTGAGGCTATAGTCCAGAGTTCAGAAAGTGGTATGCAGACAGCCAGTTGTTTGACTGAGCTGAAACAATATGAACAACCAACTCCAGAATCATTTTTCTTGTCAGATCCTGCAATATCAGTATCAAACTTTCTGAAAGGGACCAAACCCATCCAGGCCTTGCTTGCCAAGAGTATTGGAAACAAAGTGACATTAACAAATCGACTGCCACCTCCCCTAGGCATAAATGTATCTATTTCTGAAAAAACAGTTATATCACCTATGGAATCACTGCCAATAAAACCAGCACTGCCTTGCCAGACCTGTTCAAAAAGTCCTTTGCAAACAGCATACAAAATCCCAGGTAGCCATTATGTATCAAGAGACCTTCACGACAGCTCAATGAAAATTCAAATGCAAGCTGTGATTGACCCTAAAACTGGAGAAAAAGTCATGCAACAAGTCATGCAACCTAAGAATTTTCTTATTCAGCAGAATGAAGGAAAAACCATATCGAAGAACATTCAGTCATGGCAACAAAAGTCTCCTGAACTGCACTGTACAACCTTCTCACAAGCAGCAATTGTCAATGTTTCTTTAACACCTGTCATGGTAACACCAGCTGCACATGCTACCAATACGCTGCCTAGTACAATTTTTAACAAGCATATTACATATTTGTCACAGATAACTAGTCCTGTGAACAGACTGCAATCATTGCCTTCTATAAACACTTCAAGTAACTTATTATCATCAACAATTACAATGAGCCACAGCGAAACTGACAAAACCAAGCCTATAGTTTCAGCTGCCCCATTTCCTATATCTTTGGCTTTACCCACTGTTTCTACAGGTAGTCAGCCTTTTACATCAGCAACAACATTAAGTGGCTCTACAAATACTACTTCTTCCTTTCATAGTCTCACATCACAGAAGACCAGTGACTCCTTTGAAGCTAAGCAAGAACTAAAAACAGTGTGTATAAGAGAATCACAGGCTATTCTCATCACAACACGAGGTGGGAACACAGGAATTGTTAAAGTACAGACAAACCCAGACCAGACTGCAACTAATAGTTTATCTCCTAATTCCGCTTTTGCTTATGCACCTCAACTTAAGGCATTTTTGGTGCCAAAATCCACAACATTATCAACCTCTACTCTTTCATCTATAACAACAGCCACATCTGATTTTCCAGTTTTTGGACAAGCATCTGTTTCTGTGTTTGCCACCTCAGCAGCTGCTTCTTTCAACATTCCATCTTTTCCTGCTGGCTTAAATCAGATAATGGGGGAAAATTTCAAATGTATGTTAGGGCAGCTTCCTAATGGGGGCATTTTGAATCAAACAGAGGAAACCTGTCATGTATCCTCTCCTACTTTCTTGGCCCCCCTTTCCTCAACTAGCACTTTGATGTCAGCAATTCCAAGCAGTCCTGTTAATGCAATTAAAGTTGGACAGGATAACACTGGCATTACTCCAAATTCTTCAATGCAGCAACAAGGTGATACTAAAGCTAAAAAACATCCCCTTATACAATCTGAGATTAGTACAGCAACAAATGGTGATGTAATCCGTGGTACTCCAATTCAAAAAGTTGTGTTAGTCAAAAATCCACCTATTTTGTCTCCATGTGGGGCTATGTGAGTCAGTATTATACCTTCTCTAACTTCCACTGGTGTAAGTGCTCAGAAATTAGTTTTCATTAATACTCCACTTCCTAGTGGTGCATCAAACATTAATCTAGGTGTGGAGTCATCAAAACAGATCCTCCCTTCTTCCCTGAACAAAACATTTGTTAGTTCCACAGAGCAGCCACAATTGGTTTTGATCCCATCTACAGTAGAGGTACCAATAAAAAAAAGAACATCACCTAATGTGGCTCAAGTAAAAGATGTGAAAATTGGACTAAACATAGGGCACGCCTTTGGAAATACCAAAGGCAATGAACAACAAACTCCACCAATTAATATATTGCAGTCTGTCAATTCTAAGGGAGAAGAAAAAAAGAGTATGGGTCTTACTTTATGTTTGTCAAGCAGTGGTAGCTTGGTTCCAGTACATTCAGGGTTTACAAGTCAAAATGTTACATCATTGAATAAATCCATAGGTGTTGTAATGAAAGCTGCAACTGCCTTTACAGTAACAGCAGCAAATGCATGTTTGGAATCTGTTTCAGTAACACCAAGTGAGACTTCTGTTGGGACACAACCTACTGTCTTGATTGATGGAAACAACACTTCAAGAATAAGGCTGGGTTTAGCTAAGCAACTGTGTACATTGAATATCAGAAATACTGTGGGTATATCAACTGTGGAAACAAGACATCTTGCTTCACCTGTGCTAATTTCAACTACATGACCAACAGTATCTCCTCAGAACTTATCATCTACTTTACTGCTTCCAGCTGTTAGCCTGCCTGGATCTGTAGCCATCTCCCCCAAAGTGATACATACAGTTCCTCACTTGATAGCAGTTCCAGATCTCCCCTCACTTCCAAAAGACCAGCCACCCACATTGCTTCAGTTTCAGTTACCAGGTATTTCAGCTGCTTTGCCATCTAATGCAGATATTCACAAACCTCAAACTATATTGTCCTCTGCTTCACAAAATACAGGTCAAGTCATTAATTTTCCCAGCTTTTCTTCTCTACAATGCCAGCAGGTGTCTCCCAATATAGTGAAAGAAAGTCATACTTACACCTGTGCTTCTGCTATTCAGATGTCTACAACTTCACCCTCTGTAACAAGCCAGGCAGGAGATCAATTGAATGAACCTTGCATTCAACAGAAAATAATTATTAACACCAGTATGCCTTTGTCACCTGGAACTGAGATAATGATTAATGATACTAATTTTATTGTTCCATCACAAGGCCTTGGACCTGGCAGACATGTTCTTCTCCTCTCTTCTAATACAAAGCAGACTCCTCTTCCTTTAGCTATTGACCATGGTCAAGGGGCTCAATGTGTACCAATTGTTAATCCTGTACCCCTAAAGATCACACTAGCACCCACTAATTCATTAAGTTCGCAAACATCAAAACATCCTTTGAAAAGCTCTACAAAAATTGTGAACTCTTCTGGGTCTGCAAATGCTTTACCCACTGTACACACAGTGCCCCAGATATTGAATACTCCTGCTAGCTCATGTGCTTCACTATCAACAACACTGTCTATGTCTTCAGTGATAAAACCTCCAGCTAATCTTTTAGTTGCAACTTCTTTGATTTCTGCCATGCACCCTGGGAACTCTCAGTTATCAAGTAACACTTCAATGTTTGCCTTAGATACATCTATCAAAAAACTGTTGGTAAGTCCAGAGGGAGCCATTCTGAATGCTATCAATACTTCAGCATCAAAAGCTTCATCACTGCCTTCTGTTTTAATGTCCACAAGCAGAAATCCTATCACTGTCTTTCCTCCTTTTCAGTCATCTTGCCTAGATAAACCTGAAAAAGCTGCATACTGAACTTAGAGCAAATGAGCCACTTTGAAATGTTGAGGCATTCTTTTTCTTTGGAAGTGGTTGTTATAAATTAAACCATTTCTTATTTTGTTTAAAACATAGTGGATTTCTTTAAAAAAATGTTAGATTATGGTTCTTTTCCATTTGCCTGTGGGGCTTGAGAGGGGGAACAATATATTCAGGTTCAGTCATAGTTATGCTTTCAGAGGGTTAATAAAATAGTCATGGCATGAATTTGTATATATTCCTGAATTCTTAACAAGCTGTACTAAACTATATGCACAAAGAACTATGCTGTTTTATTCATGTTTTGTTGACCCAATGTATAGGGTTTTAAAAGTTTTTTTAGTAATTTTGGACCAGTGTACTGTTTGGCAACAATGCAGAAGAATCTGCATGTAATAAATCAAGGTGCTATACTGCTTTGTGTTGGTAATAGTTTAAAAGTGTGTATATCTGTTGCATTGTGGCAGAAAATACATATATATGCACATCTTTTCATTTAATGCAGAAGCATCTCACCATGGCTGGGTGCCTCTCTGAAGTGCCTCTGCATGCAATAGGGAGAAAACAGAAGGAATTAGAGGTCTGTGTGCAGCTGAAGGGCTGTGATCTCATCAGGATCACAGAGACATGGTGGGATAGCTCAGACAGCTGGAATGCTGCCAAGGGTGGATACAGGCTCTTTAGGAAGGACGGGCTGGGAAGGTGAAGAGGGGGAGTTGCCCTTTATGTGAGAGAGGAGCTGGAATGCATGGAGCTTTGTTTAGGGATGAACAATGAGCCAGTTGAGAGTTTAGGGGTTAGGATTAGAGGGCAGACCAACATGGATGATACTGTGGACTGCCTGATCAGGAATAAGTAGATGATGCCTTCTTCAGACAACTGGAAGAAGCCTCACATTCACAGGTACTGGTCCTCATGGAGGACTTGAACCTCCCTGACATCTATTGGAAGGTCAACACAGCAGGGCACAAGCAAGCCAGGAGGTTTCAGGAGTGCATTGATGACAACTTCCTAACACAGTTGATTGAGGAGCAGACAAAAAGAGGCGCTCTGCTGGACCTCATACTTACAAACAAGGAAATGGTTGGGGATGTGAACATTAGGGGTACCCTTGGTTGCAGTGATCATGAGATGGTGGAGTTAAGGATCCTGAGAGGAAGGAACAAGGCAAATAGCAGGCTCACAACCCTGGACTTCAGGAGAGCAGACTTTAGCCTGTTCAGGGAGTTGCTTGGAAGAATCTCATGGCAGACAGTCATGGAGAGAAGAGGGATCCAGGACAACTGGTTGATTTTCAAGGATCACCTCCTCCAACTTCTGATTGGTCCATTCTGAAGAGCAGAAAAATCAAGGAAAGGCAGCAGGAAGCCTGCATAGATGCACGAGGAGCTCCTTCCTGAAGTCAAATATAAAAAGGAAGCCTACAAGAGGTGGAAGTAAGGTCAGGTGACCCAGGAGGAATATAGAGACACCGTCCAATTGTGCAGGGATGGGGTTAGGAAAGTCAAAGCCCACCTGGAGTTGAATCTGGTGAGGGACGTGAAGGGCAACAAGAAAGAATTGTACAAGTACATAAGCAGCAAAAGGAAGGCTGGGGAAAATGCGGACCTGCTGCTGAATGGGGCAGAAACCCTGGTGGGAAAGGACATGGAAAAATGGCAAGGTACTCAATGCCTTCTTTGCCTCAGTGTTTACAGGTAAGACCGGCCTTCAGGAATCCCAGGCCTCTGAGACCGGGGGAAAGTCTGGAGCAAGGAAGACCCTTGGTGGAGGAGGATCAGGTCAGGGAACATTTAAACAAACTGGACATACATAAGGTCACAGGGCCTTACAGGATGCACACAAGTGCTGAAGAAGCTGGCCGATGTCCTTGTGAGGCCACTCTTGATTACCTTTGAAAGGTCATGGCTATCTGGGGAGGTTCCTGAGGACTTAAGAAGACAAAGCCAGATTATTCTGAGTGGTGCCCAGTGACAGGACAAGCGATGGGCACAAATTGAAACACATGAAATTCCATCTGAACAGAAGAAAACACTTTTTACTGTGAGGGTGGTTGAATACTGGAACAGGCTGCCCAGAGAGGTTGTGGTGTCTCCATCCTTGGAGATATTCAAAACCTGACTGGACAAGGCTTCGAGCAACCTGCTGACCCTGCTTGAGCAGGGGGATTGGACCAGATGATCTCCAGAGGTATCTTCCAACCTCAACTATTCTGTGATTCTGTGCGATTCTGTGAAAATGTCTTTCAGTATTATATAACAATACAACAACAATATAACAATATTATAACAATATATATATTATCTATGTATATAATATACATACACATATAAAACTATATACATTTAACAATAACAAATAAGATTACACTGTAGTGTATTACAATTAATGTATTACATTATATTGGAATGCAATATGTTACGATGACAAGATCTGTTTTTAAAAATATTAAATATATTGTTATTTTTAATTTTGGTCCATATATGATTAGAAAAAAGAAGAACACTTGTGACTTTTTAGTGTGGTTGATGTTTCTGTTATATTAGAAAATTTGCGTTACAGCCACTGTTAACTAATGACTGTCACTTGAGTTCTCCTTCTAATGTTTTACTCCTTCCCCCATTTTTTTTCTTAAAAATTCAGCAGAAGATAATGTGGACTAACAGTAGATGCTCAGTTGGAGTAATTATGATTGTGACTGCTCTCTTTGGCTCAGTGTTTCTTTTTATGCTCTGCATTAAAAAAGTATTCAAGTGATTTATTTTATATCTCAGTTCTCATCATTCTGTTAATTCATTGTAACAAGGGTAGAATCAGATGCTAAAATTTACTTCAGATCCTTCATTTTGAAACCACCAATCTCTACAACATCCTTTCCTTTTTCTTTATCTGACTTTATCACATATGCTAGCTAAGTTAGCACAGTGAAACAGGTTGTCAGCCTCTTACAGGCTGCTTGTCAGTCCATCTCCATTGATCTGTTTAAAGGTGATGATACAAAGTAGTAGGACTTGTCCTTTTTCCATATAAAGGTCAAAGCACACCTTATTCACCCAACATATATGCAGCCTTCCAGTTCCTTGTCTTCACTTGTGATTTGAATCCTGAATGCCATGAGCAGACATGGTATTTAAGGGGTTTTGCAACAGTATCTGACAGATTTCACTGAACTGTGAGCCCATGTTTTTTAACTAGGTCATTTCATTTTCTTGAGTTTCTTCAGTTCACTTGACTGGACTATGTTAAAGAGTTAAAGCCTTGGAACAATATTTTTATTCACTAGTTGACCCAAAAATAATTGGGGGAGAACAATTGTTTCAGGTGCCCTAGCATCAAACAATATGTTTGTTTTCCTAAAATTAAAAAAATGTTTTAAATGTGCTATTCAACTGGAAATAAAATGTGTCTATTTCTGGGGTTTTGGGGGGCGGGGTTGAGGGGAAAGATGGGGTGGTTTGGTTTTATTTATTATTTATTTTCAGGGGAGTTTTTTACTCTTCAACTTAAGAAATACAGTAAAGTTAGGCAAATTAGGACTCAAAACATTCATTCTGAAAAAAATCAAAAGGAAAGTGTTTTTACTGAACATTCTTTTTTTTGGTCAAAACTCTTCCTCCAATTTGGAACACATTTCTGGATGTTTTCAGATAATCCAGAGCCACTTTTTTTCCCCCTCAATTTTTTTCTGAATTTTTTTTGCCAAGCTCTATGCAGAGGACCTACCTGAAAAGTACAAGAGGCCTCAAAGCTGATGATCTACTTTTAGCATTACAATACGATAAACTCATACTACTCTCTAAAATATTAGAGAAATAAATACCTAAAAAACCTGAACAAGGTAATGAACTAAAGGCTCATCAGGAAAGTCTCACATTTTGTAGTAGATGTAAATATGTAGCTGTCATGAACTTCAAATGGAAATAATGCAAGAGCTATGTTGTCAGATCTTTTCAAGTGGCATCTCATAAGCCTGTACAGCAAGAGAGGTGTACTATTTCAGGCTATATAGCAGGATTGTTCTTCCCCTGATAAAAAAGGTTTTATCAGCAAAGAAATTTAATGTTCTTTTTCCATGAGATTCAAGATAGAACTACACAAGGATGCTCAGTCCATTTCTTCACAATTTACTTTCTTGCATAGATGCTATGAAGACAGGTCCTGGGAGAAGTGTTTGCAATCTTCTTAGCAGGCTTCAGAGGCACTGCATCTAACCCTACTTGATTAATATATAATATACTTGTCATAAGACTGTGGTAGGAACAGGAGCAGAATATGAAAGTGGAAGGAAGGACAGGAGAAA